TTATGTGCTTTGAAGGAATTTCTTGTTACTTGTTTGCTCACAATTTACTTGAGAAAGCTTAAAAATTCCATCCATCCCATAGATAGTCTTTAGATGATTACAGGAAATATTCTTATACTGGTTATCATTGTTTTCTCTTTTTCACCGTGCTGATGTATAATTTCTTAGTCATTTAATTTCTGTTGTCTTTAAGACACAAGGTCCAGTAGGTACAGTGCCAATCTGTGTGATTTTTCTTAGGGACTAAACAGTGGAATTGTTTCTTTATTTTATTTATTTGTTTGTGTATATATATTCTAATTATTATATTTGTTACTTGTACATGAAAGTAGAATGCATTTTGACACATCATACATAAATGCAGTATAACTTCTCAYTCATCTGGTTGTACATGATGTAGATGTTTCCAGGTCATGTAATCATATATACACATAGGGCAATAATGTCCAATTCACTCTACTATCATTCCTACRCCCATGCCTTCTCCCCTCCCTTCACTCCCCTCTGTCTAGTCCAAAAACCTTTATTCTCTGCCCCGGCCCCGCCCCCACATTGTGAATCAGAGAAAACATTCAGCCTTTGGTTCTTTGTGATTGGCTTATTTCGCTTAGCATAATATTCTTCAGTTCCATCCATTTACCAGCAAATGCTATGATCTCATTCTTCTTTATGGCTGAGTAATATCCCATTGTGTATATATACTACAGTTTATTTATCCATTCATCTGTTGAAGGGCACCTAGGTTGGTTCCATAGTTTAGCTATTGGGAATTGARCTGCTACAAACATTGAAGGGGCTGCATCACTGTAGTATGTTATTTTTAAGTTCTTTGGGTATATGCTGAGGAGTGGGATAGCTGGGTCAAATGGTGGTTCCATTCCAAATTTTCTGAGGATTCTCCATGCCACTTTCCATAATGGTTGCACCAATTTGTATTCCCACCAGCAACGTATGAGTGTACCTTCCCCTGCCACATCCTTGCCAACATTTAGTGTTGCTTGTGTTCTTGATTTTTGCCATCGTGATTGGAGTAAGATAGAATGTCAGTGTAGTTTTGACTTGCATTTCTTTAATTGCTAGAGATGTTGAAYATTTTTTTAGGTATTTGTTGATCAGTTGTATTTCTTCTTCTGTAAAGTTCTGTTCAGTTCCTTAGCCCATTTAGTGATTGGGTTATTTGGTTTTGCTGTTGTTAAGTTCTTTGAGTTCTTTATTTATCCTGGAGATTACTGCTCTGAGGTGTGTGTGGTGAAGACTTTTGGACTTGTTTATTTTTAAAATGCATTTTTTTACATATAAGTAATACTTGAGGATGGCAGAAATATGTAGAGCAAATATTTAGAGATCTTGTTYACTCCGGTACTTCCCTAGTGGCAGCTAATATTAACAGTGGATCCTTGTTGGAAATTAATGTATTGAAAGCCAAAGAGAAAAGCTCACAAACATTGCTCATTCTAATCATTTTTTTTTCCACACTGTAGAAAAAAAATAACATTGGGAATGTGATGAGGACATTTAAATAGCTAAGATACCTTAGAGCTTGCAGTGTGAACCTCAGTGCTCGGAACAATCGTGTCTTTTGTTGATACAGCACATATAGCCCTTGAGAGGATTTTCTTGACTATGTTGTTACTTATTTATAAAGTGTGCATTCCTGCAGTTCTTAGAAGAGGCTCTTATTTGTTTTCTGTTATTTGTTCTCATTTACTTKTCTACACTTTCTTTGTCCAGGTGGTCCATTTATCTTGCACAGGTGAGAGATTGGGCCTCCATGTTCATATTCAGTGTCATGCTCAAATACCTTCTTAAAGTGTTTGCTTCTGTCAATGCCATGCCAGTGTAATTACCCAAATTCCATTACTTATGAACTAAAATGTTAACGGGTGGTTTTACAAACCATCGCACCCCTTCAAGCCAGCAAAACATCTGAAAATACATGAAATAAGTAATTTTTTTTTTCATTGATTTTTACTGACTAGATTTTCTGATGATTCATGGGCATAAGATAAAATCTTAAGAGGCTGCTTTTTTCTCTCTCATTCCCAGCAGGATTGGTGGGCTACAAGATATTTGGTATTATTTCMTTTTCCTTTCTCAAGATCCCCTGCTGTGTGGGATATCCCTGGGAAATCATGAAAATGTCCCTAAGGCAGACACAAAGCCCAGTCTTCCATTTTCCRCTGTGCTGGCCTCTGAATTTCGCCTCCAGCCCCTTCTTGCTGTGCTCCACTTCTCTTGCCCCTGACAAGTCAGTTACCCCACAAGTCTGACTCCAGCTTCCCATCTCTTCTCTCTGGAATTCTTCTTYCACATCGATGACAGAGTTAGACTTGGGAGAGGATCTGACTTCTTGTCTGGAGTAATGTAAAGTGCTCTCAACACATCTCACAGCCCCTTCCTTCCTTCCCCAGCCCAGCCTCGGTCCCCCCTTTCAGCCCACTCAGGTGGGGAGACTGTGGTGGCTCTCAAAGGACCACCCTGGACTGTGGCCTCTCCTCTGGAAATGTCATGTACTTGCTAAGATTCCTCATCCCGCTGGTATCTGCTAATTCTTTATTTCTTTTCTTTTTCTTTTTTTTTTTTTTTTTTCATAGTGCTGGGGATTGAACTCAGGGCCTGGTGCATGGTAGGCAAGTGCTGTCACCCTGAGCTACATCCCCAACTCTTTTTATTTTTATTTTGTTTTGAGACAG